TGGAGGGAGGGATTTTAAGAAGTTCTTTATTAGAACAAAATGTCAGTTTTAAATGGCCATAAGACATTATAAGATAGTAAGGTAGTGAAAGGAGTAGAAAGAGGGGAGTAAGTGGAATAGGATAGGGATTGATAGAAAGGAAGGGTTAAGGACAAAGGGGGGAGTACATCAAGTGAAAGGTACTTATGTGTCTGGGGAAGGAGAACAGGCTGTTAATTGAAAAGTTGTGGGATTCCATGAGGATGTTTGACAGGGTTGAAGGGGTTGGGGAAGAGAGGATAGACTTCTATATTGATTAGAACAATAGTCTTTGTAGTGACAGGCTGTAGATACTACATTGATGCATTATTTTCCTAGGAAAGGGAATAAATTTGTGTAAAAATCCAAAGCTTCACTATTAATGGATATATATCTGAGTTTTTGTTGGTGGTTGCTATTTCCTTAAATCTGGTGTGATAAAGAGTAAAAGTGATGGCCATTTTAATTATATAGTTATGAATAGCACAAAACTTGCTTTTTCAGCACTCTTGATATCACATTTTGTACCTAAATAACCTTTTCAGAAAAAAAGAGGCATTAAAGAGTGTTTCCATGGGTATTGCAAAAGAATAGCAGTTCACCACATATATTTTCTCTGACCCCATATTCCCAAGAAAATGTTTGTCCTAATGTAATTTGTCATGTTTTTTTACGTGAATCAATATAGAGCAGAAATTCAACAGCACCATTAAGTTCTGTAGGGTAAGCATTACTGTGATATTTATTCAAATAGTTTGCCATAGGTTATGTATGTTTTAGAAGCCATGACAGAGGTTCACTTTAATTGACCTGTGGTAATATGATTTTCAGTTTTCATATTTTGTGCACTATGGTTTAACAGTTTTCTTGTCCTCTGAGGTCTTGCAATGTGAATTTGGGTTTCTTAGCATATGCAGTAACCTCAAAGTAACAAGTAATGTCCAGGTAGGGCTTAACAGCAAGCCAATTTGTTTTGGTGCTAAGGTACTGCACCCATTGTAAGAACCTCCAAGGAAAATATCCAGAGTTAATTTTTCCCAGTCATATGAGATAACAATTAGGATAAGTAGACAGAAGAAGAGAAGGAAAAGGAAAGAGGGAGAAAAAAAGACTACGTAAACTTAATTGCGGCAAGGGCTGAGGTCCAAGGTAGGGGTGATCCCCTGCCTTGCGACTCTGTCTCCCTGTCTCCTGTGGCTGTGGAGATATAGTGCATTATTTATTGAAAATTTTCTGTTGTGTCAACATCTTAGGCCATTAACAATGTATTCAAAATATAGCAATAGGGATAGTATCATGGTGAAGAGGGTAAAAATGATTAATGATTAGTTAATGATTAGGATAAATGGACAGAAGGGGTGAAGGGAAAAGGAAAGAAAAAAAGACAAAATATGCAAAGAAGTTGAGGAGAGGGCCGAGGACCAAGGTAGGGGTGATCCCCAACCCACACCCCCACACAACAACAAGAAGCAAGAGATTAGGGGGGTTATAATATAGATGAAGTAGCAGATACTTTATCTCAATCTTATAAGTATTGACTACAATTTACTGAACTTTAAACTTTTCAGAAAAAGTAAGGCAGTCCAAGCTCTCCCCAAGCCCAGTTTAGCTCTGAACTGTGTCAGTGGTCGCAATGGGACAGAGATCTTGCGGCAGCTGTCACCCCAAGGTGTTATGGTCACTTATGGTGGAATGTCAAGAAAGGTAAGTCAGCAGTGTACAATGAGTGAACCAAGCAAAAGGAAGACATTCAAGTTTGGTTTGGAGGGTTATCCATTTTTTCTTCTTTTAAGTAATTTGAAGTAACCGTTGATGGGCATTATGTATTTAAAATCATTTTAAAATTTACATAATTTTTCCATGAGTCAGCAAATTCACATGCCTCACCTACACATCTGTAATAATGTTCCCTTGATTTAAGTCAACAAAAAAAAATACATAAAAGTAATTTGTTTATGATAACTAGATCTTTGTTCCTTTCAGCCTGTCACTGTTCCCGTTGGTTCCCTGATCTTCTCAGATGTGACTCTGAAGGGATTTTGGATGACCCGCTGGAATAAGGCCCATTTTAGTCACCCAGAACGAGAGCAAATGTTAGCTGAACTTTTTGACTTGGTGAAGCAGGGTAAGCTGTGTCCACCTGATCATGCAATGGTCCCCTTTCAGGATTATAAAACTGCTTTAAAAGATGCTATGCCAAGTGATGGTATGGTTGGTAAAAAACAAATACTGGTCTTTCCTTAGATATGAACAATCAATTTTGCTGTGCAAAAGAGTAAAAGAAATATTGACAGTTCTAAACCTGTATATTGAATGGGTTATCTGTTTGAATATATGCTATGTATGGTTGAATACATTAAGTGGGGGTTAGCTGCTAATATCCTTATGATGTACATAAAGTTCTGGAAGCAATATATTTATTTTATGACCATCTTTTTTCTTTTTCCTTAAATTTTGTTAAAAACACTTTCATTTTCAACAAATATTACAGTAGGAGGTACAAGGTTCTTTAAAGGTTATGGCTAATAAAAGAGGAAGTAGAAATGCGCACTTTAATAATATAATACTTGCCTTTAGGCTAAATTCAACACATTTTTCCCCTACAAATCTGATATTGGCCCTAAATACATGTGGAGATGAAACACCAATATGTATGTAATGCACCAAAATATACTTAAAACAAATTTACAATAAAGTATAAAAAACTGCAATAAAGATCTAAATGTATATAATATGCCTCAAGAGAGTTCTCTCTCTTTTTATCTCTAACACTAACAGAGGGCTTTGTATAAATATACACTGGTTGTGGTTTGCATCTCACGAAAGGGACTATGGAGTGCCACAAATACAAGGTCAAAAAATAATTCTGATGCCGTGGGTAGTTGGTGGAAGACATGAGGAACCTCCCTCACTCTCAATTCACATGATACACAGGTACACATCAAGGCTTGCCCACTTGGTTCTAGGATGGAGTTAAAGGGGATTATACAGTATAAGGAGTGTGGAATATAATAATGCTTCCACCAACTTGCCAACATCTCTTCTAATTTTCTGGCTATTAGATAAAAATTGCACAATCACACTAAGCAAGTTTTGGACCCAAGTACTAGTAGCATTGGTGATACAGTTGCATTTTTTTCCTTTTTTCTTTTTTGTTGCTAAGGCAGATCTGCAGGATCTAAATTTACCTTGTAACTACTGCTCTATTTTTTTTCTTATTTTTCCTGTGAACATGTGCATTTACTGGCAAAATATATCAAGGACTGGTCCTGTTAGCATCGCGGCGGCGTCGAGGACCTGACGAGGGTAGCCCAGTTTCGAGAACGAACAACGCAGAAAGTCGATCTCTCCATCCAGGTACTGGGGGTCACAGATGCGGGACACCCCGGACACAGGAGATGAAGTCCTGGGAATGACGGAGGTGAGCATATATATATATATATATATATATATATATATATATATATATATATAAATTATGTATGTATGTATATATATGTATATATGTATATATTTTTTATTTCTTTTATTTTTTCATTTCATTTATGAATATTTATTTATATATATATGATCTTTGTTTCTCCCCTACCTTTGCTCCCACGAGTATTCCTGCTGGTACTGCTCCTTCCACTCCTTCTTGGGAGCAGAGCGCTTCAGCCCACCATCCCTGGACACAAGAAGGAGGGAATTTAAATCTAGCTATAAGAAAAAGGATATTGATATACAAATCAAAGATATATATACCATATCTATCACAAAAAAAATAAAAGGGAGGAGGGAGGAGAGAGGAGAGAGGAGGGAGGAAGGAGGAGGGAGGAGGAGAGTGGATGGAGGAGGAGGAAGGAGGGAGGATGGAGGATGGAGGAGGAGGAGGAGGGAGGAGGGAGGAGGAAGGAGGATGGAGGATAGAGGAGGAGGGAGGAGAATGAGAAGCAAGAGTAAAAGCAGGTGCTGGAGAAATCGAGTTTGCCAGAAAGAGAGAAAGAAAAAAAGAAAGAAAGAAAAAGAAAGAGAAAGAAAGAGAAAGAGAGAAAATGAAAAAAATAAAAAAACAGAGAATTAACTTACCAAACGAGATCAACAAGTCCGCCTTGACGTGCAATTCTCCTTTAACATGATTGGCAAATTTCTCCTTCCTTTCTTGTCCTTGGATTCTGACCGCTCAAACCAGATGTGGGCAGAGGCTCTTGATAGCGCTCTCTGAAATATTCCTAGGAAACCTCCATGCCTCTGTCCAACCTACAAAGTTCAGTGCCATTAAGGGGATGTTATCAATATAAGGATAATATGTATTCCAAAGAGAATATCACAGAAGTTATTCCTGCATTAATAATAGTAGAGTAAATCCATCCAAAACTTATATATTTTCAAAGAACATTTATAAACTTGAAAGTCCAGTAAAAATAGCATTGCAATAAAATTCCTAAAATCCACATCAAACACAAAGACATTACAATTAGAGATAAGGACCCTGATATATAGAAAATATCTACTATACTTCAATATCATTTAGTTATTTCTCCTTTTGTTTCTACTCAAATGATGACTGATGAGTGGTAGAGACAACTGATGTTTCATGAATTGTCATGGAGGAGGAGGAGGAGGAGAAGAAGAAGAAGAAGAAGAAGAAGAAGAAGAAGAAGAAGAAGAAGAAGAAGAAGAAGAAGACAGACGAGGAGGAGGAGGAGGAGGAGACAGACGAGGAGGAGGAGGAGGAGGAGACAGACGAGGAGGAGGAGGAGGAGGAGACAGACGAGGAGGAGGAGGAGGAGGAGACAGACGAGGAGGAGGAGGAGGAGGAGACAGACGAGGAGGAGGAGGAGGAGGAGACAGACGAGGAGGAGGAGGAGGAGACAGACGAGGAGGAGGAGGAGGAGACAGACGAGGAGGAGGAGGAGGAGACAGACGAGGAGGAGGAGGAGGAGGAGGAGGAGGAGGAGGAGGAGGAGGAGGAGACAGATGAGGAGGAGGAGGAGGAGACAGACGAGGAGGAGGAGGAGGAGGAGACAGACGAGGAGGAGGAGGAGGAGGAGGAGACAGACGAGGAGGAGGAGGAGGAGGAGACAGACGAGGAGGAGGAGGAGGAGGAGGAGACAGACGAGGAGGAGGAGGAGGAGACAGACGAGGAGGAGGAGGAGGAGGAGGAGACAGACGAGGAGGAGGAGGAGGAGACAGACGAGGAGGAGGAGGAGACAGACGAGGAGGAGGAGGAGGAGGAGACAGACGAGGAGGAGGAGGAGGAGGAGGAGACAGACGAGGAGGAGGAGGAGGAGGAGGAGACAGACGAGGAGGAGGAGGAGGAGGAGGAGACAGACGAGGAGGAGGAGGAGGAGGAGGAGACAGACGAGGAGGAGGAGGAGGAGGAGGAGACAGACGAGGAGGAGGAGGAGGAGACAGACGAGGAGGAGGAGGAGGAGGAGGAGACAGACGAGGAGGAGGAGGAGGCAGACGAGGAGGAGGAGGAGGCAGACGAGGAGGAGGAGACAGACGAGGAGGAGGAGGAGGAGGAGAAGACAGACGAGGAGGAGGAGGAGGAGGAGACAGACGAAGAGGAGGAGACAGACGAGGAGGAGGAGACAGACGAGGAGGAGGAGGAGGAGGAGACAGACGAGAAGGAGGAGGAGGAGGAGACAGACGAGAAGGAGGAGGAGGAGGAGACAGATGAGAAGGAGGAGGAGGAGGAGGAGACAGATGATGATGAGGAGGAGGAGGAGACAGACGAGGAGGAGGAGGAGGAGGAGAGAGATGAGGAGGAGGAGGAGGAGGAGACAGACGAGGAGGAGGAGGAGGAGGAGGAGATAGACGAGGAGGAGGTGGAGGAAGAGGAGGAGGAGGAGGAGGAGACAGACGAGGAGGAGGAGGCAGACGAGGAGGAGGAGACAGACGAGGAGGAGGAGGCAGACAAGGAGGAGGAGACAGACGAGGAGGAGGAGGAGGAGGAGGAGGAGGAGGAGGAGGAGGAGGAGGAGGAGACAGACGAGAAGGAGGAGGAGGAGGAGACAGACGAGAAGGAGGAGGAGGAGGAGGAGGAGGAGACAGACGAGAAGGAGGAGGAGGAGGAGGAGGAGGAGACAGACGAGAAGGAGGAGGAGGAGACAGACAGACGAGAAGGAGGAGGAGGAGGAGGAGACAGGAGAAGGAGAGAGAGAGAGGGGGGGGGAGAGAGAGAGAAAGAGATAGAGATTTTTTATTCACATGTGTGTGTGTATGTGTGTGTACACACACACCTTGGGTAAATAGAGCGTCATGGAGAAAGTGGATGCCAAAAACGTCCTGTCGTAGAACAGAGCACCAGAGGAATATATATATGTATGATATATATATATATCCTCTATTTATGTATATATATATTTTTTATCTTTATTTTTACAAGAACAATCTACAGCTAAAATACAAGTAAATACATACATAAATACATACACACGATGAAATAATCGAATATGTCGGAACAAATACATTTCTCACTCCTCATGGAGCGCTGCAGCCGCCGGCGCCGCCTCCTCCTCCTCCTCTTCCTCTGCAGCCTCCTCCTCCTCCTCCTCCTCTGCAGCCTCCTCCTCCTCCTCTTCCTCTGCAGCCTCCTCCTCCTCCTCCTCCTCGTCGTCGGATTCCTGGGCCTTCTCCTCCTTCCTCTTCCTCTCCTCGGCCATCTTCTTGCGTTCCCGTTCTGCCAGAGTTTCTCCGCCAATGAACTCCACTTCAAACGTGTTGTCCGGGTTGAATTGCATCTTGGTTCCGAAAAAGAATCTTACTCCAATTATAGAACCTGCATACCACCACGGGGTATCTTCGGGTTCTACCAAGTAATCGCAGCCAAGCAACTCCTGACCATGCCCCTTAACGCACAGGTCTTTGGCCATGTATTCAATGGACTATGTAATCCCAGCACCTGTGACCTTACAATCATGATCAACAGGTACCACGTTCAGATTGAGTTGCTTCGCTAAACTCAGTGGCCCATATAGACAGATTGTGCATGCTGTGTCGACCATTATTTCTATGTCTTGGCCTTCAACGTTCACTGTTGTCCTGGGTGGTTCTAGAGGGAGATCTGGGACGTACTCACGGAAGGCGAGTTTAAAATGGCACAGGTCTATTATGGCACAATTGTGTTTGAGGACGTTGAGACCCAGCAGGTTGTGCTCGATGTCCATCACACAACAGTAGTGGTTTTATAGCTCGCCGTTGATCAGCATGTCCACCCACAGCCCGTACCGTCCACCTTCATTTAGTTCTATCTCGTCCGTGAGGCCCCACTCCTCCACCTGCTTCGGCGTCACCATGGTGTATATCAGGCAGGTATCCACAACAAAGGTAGTGCTCATGCCCTCGCACTCCAGCTCCACGAAGGGAAAAATGGACTCTGGATACCGCATCTTTATCTTGATCCACGTTGGTTGCGCCATCGCCTCGCTTCGTTTGGGAGACCTACCGTTGGCGTCTCACTCAGTTGCGAAGAAGAGAGGGAATGTGATTCCGGCG